ATAGAGGTTTTGCAATTTGAACAAGAAGAATCTATTAAAAATGATAGTGGTTGTTTAAATCTATATCATCATAATAATGTTAATATGCCTTACACTAAGTTATACTACAGATTATTAGTTGATAACTGGTACATACATCATTTTCAATGTTCAGATGAAAACATAAATGTCCTCAAAATTTTCAAATCAAATCCTCTTAGTGAACTAAGATTTTAGATTCATTGTGAATAAAAGGAGATGGATATAAGCAAGGATTTGTGTAGTAATATACAAATCCTTGATATGGGGTATACAGTTATGACACAGCAAGCCAACAATACAACAAAATTAAAAGTCATCTAGAGGTCGACATACAGCCTCAAGCAATATATATATATGTCCTTACAATATATGTCAAGCTCCAAAGTTATCTTTTTATATTCTCTTTGTTTGTGAGAGACTGAATACAAAGCATGTCAAGTTACCACATAAGACAACTACTGACAAGTTTTCTGAAAGCCAATTCAAATACCTCAGTAATCTGCCGATGTTTTTCCATGCCATCGTACACTCTCATATTGATGGCTGTACCTCATGAGATCACTGTCATACTAAAAGGGAGACAAGACATTGTTCGATGACCAGAAGAAACCTGTACATAATTTTCAATGCACAAAAACGAACGAAACGATTAATGTTTATTTAAAATAATTTTAGTGATGATCATTTATTCGTTTATTCGTGGGCCATGTGCTACATGTAAAGTGCACCACAGCACTTTTATTGGTTGTGTTTCGCCCTGATATTTCTTGGAAGGTCTTTAAATTCTTACATGGTTTTGAAATTTTTCCCATGGTGAAAATGACATCCAGCGAAGTACTAACGGAAATACGCTATTCTGAAGTCTGCAGAATAAATAAAAACAGTATTTGGTTGAAATTTTTAATATATAAACTGACATCTGTATGAACTAATAGACATATATCATATATGTCTCTTAAATTAATGACTCATTTAAATATTCAAAATTCCCTGCTAGTGAAAAACTATAAATTTAAAGTAGCGAGAATAAAACTTGAGAACAACATACACATTGTTTTCTGTGCATGTTGAATCAGACCTATGTGTAGCAATGATCTGCAGATATATCCACTGAAATAATTAAAACAGTTTAGTATTACAAACTGTGCAGAACATTCACAGTTAAAATATGCAGTGTTTGTAGTTCATGATAGCTTTTCTTTTTGAAAGCAACTTGTTTGTGACACCTTATAACTTAATCCAACATTGATGAAATTTTATGAAACTTTGATAGGCTGCTTATGATGATGTTTTTTTGTTTTCTGTATTTACTGATAGATGGCCATGGACTTACATGTAGGTGTAACAATAAGTTACAGGTTGGGGTTAAAGTTTTTTAGACATTATTTTGATACTTGTTTTAAAGCATCATGGAATGTCATGTAACTTGGACAATAGCCTATTCTTTATTGAGAAATTTTACAAACCTTCATGAAGTTTTATGAGACTTTAAACATACCACATTTTTAGGTGCAGTCTGTGGTTAATCATTTTAAAGCTAGAATACCACTGAAAATGAAAATAAGGAGATGTGGTATGTTTGCCATTGAGCCAACTTTCACCAAAGACCGAAGGAGAAGATGTAAACGACTTTAACTTTGTCAAACTTGAATTTTACATTGTATGACCGAAGCTTCTTAACAATCAAGAGACAGCACCCTGAGCAAAATTTGAATGTTATCTTTATTAATCTGTATTTGACTGAAATAACAACAAAAATACGAAGATGTGGTACATGTATGATTGCCAATTAGACAACTTTCCATTAAAGACCAAAGGAGAGGATGTAAACGACTTTAGGGTACTGTACTGCCCTCAAGGATGAGCAAAACCCATACTGTATAGTAAGTGCTGATAAATGAACATAGTTTTTGTAGTCATCAAAAATACAATTTAACACAGTAACACTGATTGCAACAGTTGCAGGCACAATAAAAGGATCTATGGAACCCTTACAATTTATTTTTCAATTAAAGAAATTGTTGGACACATATGTATCAAAGTTTAATCAGACCTTTACAAAAATTAATAATACAATCTAGACACTTGTGAAAAATCCTGTTGTTTTCAAGAAAATAATGCAACTAACTCCAAATAGGCAATAAACATGTTGGCAGTTTTAAATATAGCTTTGGCATGTCGTAATAATTGTTGAATTAGTATATTTGATATATTTTATGTTTGACACATATACATAATTTATTTCTGTATTCATGTTTATGTATTATTAAGATAAATGACAACCTTGAATAATAGATTTCCAAAAAAAAAAAAATGAAAGAAAATTATTATAATTGTAAAGAGTGCATTTATGCATTTCCATATTTTTCCTCACTACTTTAGAGTGTACAAAAATAAAGTGCATTGCAGTGAAAAATCTTTTCATACTATCATCATCAAACAGTTATGGGATAGACTTTATAGTTACCAGTTTTCTGGACTTTATCACAGATTTTGAGATAAAAAAAGACATATTTCAATGAAGTTGAATGAACACAACATTGTAGGCATCCTATCCATGAACATTTCAAAAAATTATCAATATAAAAATATATACTCAGATATCAAAGTTTCAAACTGATGTGTATCATGTATGTGTATAAGGATACTTGTTAAGAAATCACATGAATTGTGCATGGCTATTCTAAAAATGACAATGATGTCAATGAGAATGGTTATATTTAGAATTGGAGTTATCTTCCTGTCCATAACTGTACTTGAAAATTACAACTACAATTAATGATAAAATATTGCTTTCCAATGCTTCCCAATGGTAAATTGATGCTACATGTATCTTTACCCTTCAGTGATAGATAAGCATTTTGATTTTGTTTTCTTGTTCAAGTTAGTAATCTTCCTGTTTGTAGCTGCACTGTACGTGCATGTGTACTGTGTTTTTTATGCCCCCACCGTAGAGGAGGGGGCATTAAGTTTTACCCTTGTCCGTCTGTACATACGTCCGTACGTCCCAAAATTGGTTTCTGTTCTCTAACTTGTTTTATTTTTAGTCCCCTACCGACGAAGTCCAAGGGGACTTTAGGTTTGCACTCTGTCCGTCTGTCTGTCCGTCCGTCTGTCCATCCATCAGTCCGGCTTTTTTTCTTCATGCTTGAAGATATTGATTTGATATTTGGTGTATTGTTTTATCATGACAAGTTACAGGTCAAGTTCGATTTTCACGATTTTAGCTTTTCTCCTTGTTCAGATAAAGCCCTTTCCCTAGAATTAAATTTTTGATGAAATACTAGATTTCTGTTCAAAGGGAATTAACTCATTTTTTTTTAAAGATTTGTAAAAGACATATTGTATTAAGATAAATGACATTTTGGATTTTTTTCCTTTTTTTTAGTAAATTGTTTGAAGAATTTAGTGGTAGGTTTGCTCCATTACAATGAATTTTTAACCGGTAGGGGACTATGTATGCCATGCAATACTCACAGAATGCTTGTTTTTATTATTTTTCAAAGTCATCTTATTGAGAAGTAACAGATCACATTTAAGCATTTTAGCTCATCTTGCCTAAGTGGCAATGTGAGTTTTTGCCATCAACTCTTGTTACCCATTTTATGAATTTTTTGATAGAAGATAGGTAGAGGGTAACAATATGTAGCAAAATTGTTCTGCAAAATAAAATCTGCAAATAAGTCAAAAGTAGTTGAAATCATCCCCAGATAGGTGTTATTGCACTGAAAGATATTTTATTGTCCCTGAGCAACGCGTTGCAGGGGACATAGAAATACCGGGCGTCCGTCCTTTATGCCCTTGGAAACATTGATTATACTCTCATGTGTACAATTCTTACCAGAATTTTATGAAACTTATATTGTAGGTTTATATCAGCAATGTCTTGGATGAGTTCAAAAATCAGTGCAGATCAACTATATTTAAAAGAGTTGTGCCCCTTGGAAACATTAATTATATGGAAAATTGCATTGTTAGCGCTCTCATGTGTACAGTTCTTGCCAGATTTTTATGAAACTTATATTGTAGGTTTATATCAGCAAAGTCTTGGACAAATTTGAAAATCATTGCTGATCAACTATTTTTAAAAGAGTTATGCCCCTTGGAAACATTTAAAAAACTATATCGGAAATTGCTCTCAAGTCTTCAACTCTCTAGTAAGATAATTTAAAAAAGTTTTTTAAAAAGAACAATAAACCCTTTTTTTTAGTTATTGCCCTAGGACAAAACAGATAAAATATGTGCAAAGTTGGGGACATTGGAACTCTGGATTTCCATTTTTTTCAGGTTTTGCACAAATTATAATACAAATGTAATAGATGAAGAGAAACAGTAAAAAAGTTTTAAAAAAATGTTCAGCATAATCAGTAAAAATGATCATCAATACAAGACCTACAAAAATGCCACAACATAAGATCTACAAACAAGCAAACATAATTGATAACAATAAAGGAAAAAATGAATATCAAAATGGCAACTTTTTTACCAGATGAGTGATTCAGGCTCTTGGGAACATCTTGTGTTGATTTTTGTTGAAAATAATTAGTAAATAGTGAAAAACTTGAAAAACATAAAAATGATCAGATACCTAAGATGTACAAAAAGAAATTGGCTGAAATTATCAGTGTATTCTAAATAGGAGTTATCATCAGGCCACAGCCCTTGAATGATGATTTAAATCTTTAAAGGTGTTTTTTTTGGAAACTTTTGGAAATACATTTATTTGCTTTCTTTTTGCATTGAATCAATTTTATGCAAATATGCAAGGGGAGTCATACAGGCTTCTTGGAGCCTCTAGTTCTAAGGAATTATAACTTGCACAGATTCAAAGCAGTGGGGACATTTAGCAACAGATTAACAATCTTGTCTAATTAGAGTCCATTTGACTAAACGGTGCACTGAACAAAAAAAATCACACATACATCATTGTATTATAAAATCACATAGATTCTGATTCAGTGTTGCTTTTTAACTTGCAGGTGATTGTTGGTTATTGGCTGCTATTGCCTCACTTACATGCAATGAAGTACTTCTGAATAAAGTTGTACCACCAGAACAGAATTTTACTGATGAATACTGTGGTTTGTTCAAATTTAACATCTGGCATGAAGGAGACTGGACAGAGGTAGTAGTGGATGATAGGCTTCCTTCATATATGGATAATTTGGTGTTTATGCACTCAGCTGATAAACATGAGTTCTGGAGTGCCTTGCTAGAAAAAGCCTATGCAAAGTAAGTAGTTTTATATTAACAGTTTTGAATGTTGTATTATCAAACATATATTTTTGGGGGAAAGGTTTTTCTTGTGGCAGTTAGTTTCTCCAAAGCCTGAATAGTACAACTCTAGTATTAGAGAAAGAACTTTAAAACAAAATGCACAATCTTTTTGTACTCAATAAAGACAAACGAACTCTAGAAGTAATTTCAGTTTTATTGTTTTGTTAGGTTGCTGCCTTTTTGACATATACCATATATACCTGATATCTCTTTTTATTCTTATGTACATATTATATATCAATATTTTTACCCTGAAATGAACACACCGGGTATCCTGATCAGAAACCGTGGAGGGATCCAAATCCAGAGGTTCAATTAATGAAAAGTTCGTAATGGTGGGTAAGTAAAATCTGGATCCTATTCCCACGTAGGATTTATGCTTCAAGGGAATCAGATCCAGATTTTACCTACCCACTGTTACAAGCAGGAGTGACATTGAAATATTATTTACAATGGTAACTAATAAATTCCAAATTTTACCTGCATCACTTAATGGCTGAACATGCAGAGTAAATCTTTGATTTGTGTACTTGGAACAAGCTACAAGGGAACATATTGCTTTCTTAGAGGACAATCGTTTGATTCTGAGGGGATGGGAGTTGCTAGCAGATTTGCTCAAGAGTAAATATTTATTGTCAATTTAAAGACGGACAGAATATTAAATATTAATTTTTGTTGTTATTCCACTAGAAATTTAAATTTTCGAATAGGGTCAGACTAATAATTTTCAATTTGTGTGAGCCAAAATATACTGCCAGCCTTTAACCCTCAGATTCAGATGGTTATCCTCTTATACAAAAGGTAATCTTATAATACATGTACTGGAAAAAGTGGCAGATCCACAAATTTTCATAAGGGGGACCCACTGACTGCCTAAGAGGGGGCCCGTTCCAGTCATGCCTCAGTGATTCCCTATATAATCAACCAAATTTTTTCCACAAGAGGGGAGCCTTGGCACCCTGGCCCCCCCCTAAATCAGCCTCTTGGAAAACTCTACAAAAGACAATTGTTTGGTTAAATGAAAATTATACTTTCCCAACACTTTCTATTCCTAAGTTTCTTAGACTTAGTTTCATAAGAAAACTTTATAAACAAAGAGCAATTATTGCCATGAAAATGGGGTAAATTATTTGCCCTTTTGTTTTATTTTATATTTGTGTTTTGGTCAGGCAATGTCTTACAACAACAAGACATGCTTTTTGACATAAATGTAAATGTGCCAGAGTTGTTATACTTGTCAAATTTTGAGTTGTAAAACATTGTGGGTGGGGTGAGAAGAGGTTGGATGTGTGAGATGCTGCCCCAAAAATGTCTATTTTGTGCAAAAAACATCAATTTTGAACATTATTATACCCCTTTAGAAGGAATGGGTATACTGGCTTTTGTCTGTTAGTCCATGTTTTCGTCCATCCAATGATATTTTTGTTGCATTTTTCTCAGAAACTACAGTTCAGAGCTTCCTGAAATTTGTTATATAGCTTTATGTGAGCATGCTTTACGATGTGATGTATTATCACATTTATCACTCTATCACTCAATAACTTCCTGTCTACCAAATACTTGTATATTCTTGCACATAACATGCATAATAACCATGTAGGAAACTTTTGTCGCAATTTTGTAAGAAAGTACAAATCACCGCTTTCTGACATTTGCAATCAAGCTTCATGTGATGTGATTTCACATCCATTGCTCATCAACTTCCTGTTAACTGAAGACTTATAGTGGGGGTATCTTTTGTGAGCAATAGCTCACTGCTCAATTTGTTCATCCAATTCTTGACCTGCAAGACCCAGGTATGCTAGCAGATGTAGCTTGCTGTATCCTGCAAAGACAGTTGGCCTCATTAAACACGTGAACCTGAAAATTACTAAGCTCTTTTGAAAAGTTTTTGGATATGGTAGTCTAAAGAAGGTCATAATGACATGTGATTTTTGCTTCACTTGGACCTTTAACCATAAGTAATCCTTCCCAAGGGGTATTTAAATTATAAACAAAATTAGAAGAACTTTACATTCCCATGGGTTTAGGTTGTTTTTCGGATTTTTAGGACCTCTGTAATGAGTGGACCAGACATAGAAGGTAAGCCCACCTCTCCAAAATTGCAATTTTTCTCTGATTTCCATTTACACATGTACAAAGTTTGAATTTGGGTTCAAGCTGTACCTGGAGATCATAACAATGAATCACCTTAGGTTGAGGGAACATGCCTCAATTTTTGAAATCAATATCAAATATTCAATTGTATTACTGTGGATTCATTATTATTCGTAGGAAACCCATTTTCAGTGATTTTGTTGACAAAGGTAAACCACAAATTTAATTGTTCAAAGAAGTACAAATTTTTCAAAGGCATGTATGCAGAGTTTGGCAAAAGCATGAAATCAAATATCAACATAAATACATTTTTTCATCAATCCATGGAAACTGATCTGATACCCAGGAAAATAAATGAATCAACAGTAGTATGTTCATGCAAAATTTTGTATATAAATTTGATAAATTAATGTTACACTAAGCCTGAAAAGTATGGTACAAAATGTAAGCCATTGGGGCAAGAATTAATTATATTTGATTGTAATTTGAAAATAGATATACATTGTATTACATCATATCTAATTTTAGAGAACTATTAATCATATCTAATGTTAGAGTGTTATAGGTTTTCCACACTTTTTTTCATCATGCTTGAAGATATTGATTGACAATTGGTATATAGTTTTATCATGACAAGTTACAGATCAAGTTCAAATTTTTGTTTCGGTCTGATAATTTTGTGCAGAGTTATGGTCCTTGGACTTGAAAAAATTCACTCATCTATTCAGTTTTCCACACTGTTTTTAGTCATGCTTGAAGATATTAACTTGATATTTTCTTTTTGTTTACACCATGACAAGTTATAGAACAAGTTAGCATTTTGTTCCAGTATAATGAATTTTTACCCGGTAGCTAGGGGACTATGTATTGCCATGCAATACTCTCAGAATGCTTGTTTGCTTATAATACCAACATTATTAGCCCTATAGCAAAGGTCATCAATAAGTAATGCATATTAACAATTTTCCTTTGCATTTGGTTCAGCAAAATGTTCAGTGTTGTCACATTTGGATGGAAATCTGTATTTTGATTTTGACCCTTATGAAACTACATGTGATTACAAATTTTCAAACTGAAAAAAGAAGATGCAAGATGTTAGAGTAACATGTAGGAAAATATTTGAGGAAAACATTTTTGTATTATTATATAATTAGTTAATAAGAGATCATAAGAGGCTTGGGATATGATGTGTTGGGTTTCTATAGGTACTCAGTTTATCATTTAGGCAGTTCAATCTTTGCAGTTAAAACAGAATAGCATGTAAAAATAAAATGTAACATAACTGTTAAATAACATGAATAATGATAATGATAATAATGTCAAATGTAATATAATGTCAAAATCCAAATTTAACACAGAGAGCAATGCAGGCTCCTTTTGACATCTAGTACTATTTTGTTTAAGCTTATATAGAACATTGACTTAGATAATCAATTTATTCCACAGATTGCATGGATCATATGAATCTCTTAAGGGAGGAAGTACAAGTGAAGCTATGGAAGACTTTACTGGAGGTGTGACAGAAATGTTTGACCTTAAAAAGGCTCCCAAGGACCTTCTCACCATCATGTTGAAAGCCCATGACAGAGGATCATTGATGGGTTGCTCTATTGATGTATGTCAAATTTATATTCAGTGTATATATGCATATTTCTATATTTATAACCATGCTTTTTCTGTATATTTAATCTTAGACAATACTATAAATATTGGATCGCAACAACATAAGATTAATACTTTCCACATGGGTAGGGTTTGAAATTCACATGACTGCAAATTTTTGTGATCATATCACAGTATGTGTGTACTTTCATCATATGTTGTTGCCTTCTCAAAGTTAGTTTGTAGAAACTTCAGTTGGAGTTTTCATTTTATATTAGAGCCCAGAGGAAACCTTTATGCAAAAAAATCTCCTGTAGACTTGCTTATTCAGTTGAAATTGTATACTGTAGAAAGGTTCCTTGTGAGGTACATACTGAATGCAGTGTACTTGAAAATAAGGTCAGATTCCACAGCACACTAGACATAACTGCCAAATGATCTATAGTGAGTCGCTAGTTCTGGCACCTCTGCAAAAACAAAAGATATCAAGAGATTTTCCAATGTCCCAAGCAGTTGAAAGACTTAATTTTGGGAAAGTTTTTAGTTTTTAGTTTGCATATGTATATATATCTATTAATATAAACAGTATATAAATGTGTTGTTAAAGAAACATATTTTGCAAGCAAGCCAGAATTTATTCACATTTTACTGAAAGAACAGCCAAACTTGTATAATTTCAATCTCCTCATGGCTGAATATTTTGTTCATAAGATAGGTGTTTAGTTAAAACAGGTTGAATTACTGAAAAAAATTGACTGGATGTCCTCCACAACTATGTTTCCAGTTTAACCAAAAAGTGCATGTTAGATGAGTTTCACTTATGCATGGCAAAAACCCAGTTTTATGAGTGGGAAAACCTTGGTTTTACTGGGTTTTAGAGGGAAATACTGGGCAACACTGGGTAATATTAAATACTTAAGAGGATCCAATTTAATGATCCATTACAAATGCAATACATAAAATTTATATGTAGGACTCGGAGATGTCATGGGGACGCTGAAGTGCGATGGTCTGCCGTTTTGTCTTATAACATGGACATAGTATGAGATGGTGATCCGATATGGGACCATGATAGAGCGACTATAAAAGGATAGATCTCGTTTCCCGTCAAAGAATCTCATATTTCCTCCTGGAGTCCTGTTGCAGAAAAAAACAGTATGATGATCAATCTTATTCCGTGCTCTCATTCACAGCAGCTGAATATATTTGTTGCTATATTGTGTTGTTGTGACCTAGCAAGTAGTACTTGAATTTCTGATAGCTTCCTCATTTTTCAGTATTTAAAATTAGTACTAGTTTGAATGGACAATAACCTTTGCATAAAGCGTCAAGGGTCCGGAAACGGTCATATTTTCCAGTCATGACCTAAACTGAGAGCTATTTGTCCTAAACGAAAAATTGGGATTTAGGACAAATTTTATTTTTTTACAGAAATAATTTCGGTCATTTCATTGAGATCGGGTTTCTTAATTGCCATTTTGCACTTGTTTTTGTTTTATAATCCCTTTCCTGTAATATAACTACCACTCCAGTATAGTTTGATAATCCTGAGGGCCCTACTAATAACTATATTGATGCCTTCGGAAATATTGGCTAATGATCGCTAATCACTTTTTACCTGTGTTTTTAATTCACACCTGACATTGATCACAAGCTCCAAACTAATATCATAAAGAAATTGAAATTCCATGACAACTGTTTTCATTATTTAATTACTTTTCCACAAAGAAAATCATCAATTTTGATTTAAAAATTAAAACTTAATTTAATTTACGTAGAAAAAATTAATTTTTCACGAGTAACACATGTGCTTTATTTACTGTGAATACGCATGCCTGAAATTGTCTTCAGCATATTAGACACTTAATCGAAAAATGCAAAATGATTTCATGCTTAATTAAAAGAGTGCAACTATTATCTGTTATATTCAAACACTTATAAACTTAAAGGCAATAAACTTAAAAAGCCGGTGATTTCCTGTCAATTTGATAAACAAAACGAATCCCGGAAATGAATCCAGAATTCCTCGTACTTTAGTATTGTGGCAAAACTTCCGGTTTTAATTTCATCTTCAAAATCGAAAGAAACGTCAGTGATGTCTGAGAAATTAACCATTTTGAGTCAATAAAATCATTTCAATTTTAAACTGTTGCCTTCCCTAAACTGTTCTTTAACGTTTTAAGAAAAATGGTAAGAAAATTCACGAAGTAAATGCGATGAAACAGTCTATACATGTTCGTTGATGCTATGAATCTAGTGTTATATCGACAATTTGATAAAAAGGACACCAACTTTTAAATCATCTCAAAATGACCGAAATTGTGTGAAAAAATTTCATGATCCTTGTATAGCGTCTATAGTGGTCAATTTTATATGCATGTATGAACGTTGGATTATTTTTGTTGAAGCCTATTTACAAAATAACAATGTTTCAGTTATGATACGAAATGTAATGACTATTTATTATAATATTCTCAGTGATTTACTTAAAAACATGAAAAGCTGCTTCAAACAAACAAATTGACTTCTACATCCACATTAGAACATAAACAACATTGAAAATATAGTTTATGTAATCCCCCGCACTTCAGCATTACCACCAACAAACTTCGGCATAGCTATCAAAGAGATTGCGTCACAATGCTACCATCGCACTTCATTGTGATAAAAAACGCACTTCAGCGTATATATAATGTATATTTGAAAAATGAATAACAAAAAAACCACAAATAATTACATGGTAATGACTGTTAGCACTTTTAGCCGTCGTATCAGTTCTTCATACATGTTACTGAATCCTTATTTGATATGCTGCCCATGGATATATTACGTGCCTATCAATTTTTAAATATTACCCATTTGTGTTGAAAACAAAATTTCTGACAAGTTAGAGCTATTTTCCTAAGGTTTGGTTGACTTGCTTGCTTTGTTTGTATAAATGTTTGCTCAAGCTTTGTAATTAAGATTGACATCTGCAATCAATAGATAGGCGGGGCTTCAGCTTGTATACATTATACTTAAATGTTATCAGATGTTAAGTTTAATGCAGAGTATAATGTATACAAGCTGAATCCCTTATCTGTCAATCTATCTATTGATTGCAGATATCAATCTTAATTACAATGCTTGAGCAAACATTTATACAAACAAACCAAACCTTTAAACTACAAGCATTAGGAAAATAGCTCTAAGATCGTCATCTCTTCTTTTTAACTAAGAAAATATTAATAAAAGAGACCAGAATAAACATTTTCTTCTAAATTATATTGTGGTAGCATAAGGTTTGGGACGAAAAGGGACAGACTATTTTATGAATAATAAGCAAGACAAAGACTTATTAATGGTTAAAATTGTGGTGTCAAGTGGAGTTTCTAAATCTAAAATCCTATCCACATCTTAAATAGTCAAAACAAAAGGACAGATTTTTTATGATAAGAAAAGCAGTGAAATGGTTGGACGAATAAGGAAAGACTTTTGATGGCAAGGCAACAAAACCAGAGTTTTTGTTTCATATTCCTGAATAGATCAATTGACATCTTCCATTTAAAAGTGCACCAACAACTACTTTGAACGATGAATGATTGTGACCATTCCTTGACCTGAATTAAATGCTATAGTGGTCAGGTTTAATTTTAAGAATGTTGGTCAGTTTCTAAATAATAAATTAATTAAACCTGATAGGTCAACAATATTTCATATTTGAGGATTTGTTGTAACAACATGAACAAGTCAGTGTTGTCCCTAATTTTCGACTTGAATATGTCCACATCTAGTGGTCATGAAGTTTAGTTTCCAGAATTTTGGTCTTGTTTCCAAATATTAAATTATTCAAAAATATTAGGTTTGCTTATTTGCTGTTAAATATAAATATGTCTGACATATCTCATGGCCTCCAGAGAAGATGCAAATGTTATTGTTATAATAAATTCACTTATAAAATAATGTTAACCTATCTAGGCCATGAGATATGTCAGACATATTTATATTTGACTGACTTTCATATTCGGAATGTTTTATTGAACATCATTAAGGGTATAAAAAGGAGATGCATATGTAGGGAATACGTCAATAAGACAGAAAGTTTTATATATCATTTGTTAAAGTTAGATTATTTGTTTTAGGCTGATCCTAACCAATTAGAAGCGGAACTGGCAAATGGACTGATTATGGGACATGCATACAGTGTTACGGCAGTTAAAATGGTACATCTAATATTTTTATTTTTAAAGCTTCATACATCATGTTCATAAAAATCATCTGTTAGTGTGTTGTCTAAAAAGTGCACTCAAAGAAGTTGGTAATTACAGAGTTATACACATTAAATTATAAGATTTCTGTGCAATAATGAAAATACTGATAATATTTGAGAATATAAAAAAAATCAGTAAAAGATAAAGTTATAAAAAATATATGTAGCTGCACAGTGGATTCCATTGAATTGCATAATCCTGGTGTTCTCATTAGAACACAAAACCATTTCATAGCAAGGTCAAGGTTAAACTTAATTCAACTTTACATCCTCATATTCAAATTTTGTGTCTGACTCAGAACTTTTGAGTACCATGAAGGACATTAAAGATGCTTGGTTTAATTGTTCCCTATACCAGATGATGTGTCACAAGCTAGTTTGGAATGTTTGTTTTTGAGGTCAAGGTCAAATAAATAGTTTCAGATATACTATGTTGTGTTGGACATTTAATGGCCTTGAAGGTTGTGAATGATACCTGTGATACATAGTTGCCCACCACATGACATTGTCACAAATACTTGGATTTGACCATGTATATATAGCATATGAGTGATACTGATTTTGTTTCTTCATGCTTATAATTATGTTGCTTAGTCTTGAACAGTGAAAAAAACCCACATAGATTCAAAGACAATATTTTTTCTTAAATACTTTGTACATAAGATGAGTACAAGGAAAGGGGTATCATTTTTGTGAACTTTGCTCACAGTACTTACCTCTAGTTAGTGTTTGTGTTTATTTAACAATATTAATATACATACAATTCCTTGTGAAATCAGCCATCCATCATCATCATCATCTTCTTGTGAAAAGCTAAATGGTGCTTTTATTTTTATACGACCGCAAAAAATTTTTTGCGTCCTATAATGCTATGGTGTCGTCCGAAGACACATTTGGTTTCCGGACAATAACTTTAGTTTAAGTGAATAGATCTCTAAGAAATTTTACCAGAAGGTTCAATACCACAAAAGGAAGGTTGGGATTGATTTTGGGGGTTATGGTACCAACAGTTTAGGAATTAGGGGCCAAAAAGGGGCCAAAAACAGCATTTTTGTAGTTTCCGGACAATAACTTGTGTGTTAGTGTATAGTTCTCTCAGAAATTGTACTATAAGGTTCCATATCACAAAGGGAAGGCTGGGATTGAGTTTGGGGGTAATTGTCCAAATGGTTCATGAATTAGGGGCAAAAAGGGGCAAAAAATAAGCATTTTTCTAGTTTCCAGACAGTAACTTGTGTTTAAGTGTATGGATCTCTCTAAAATTGTACTACAAGGTTCCATACAACAAAGGGAAGGCTGGGATTAATTTGGTGGTAATTACTCCAAGGGGGAGGGGGTTCAAATAGTTTGGGGGGATTTTTTTTTCGTCGTCAGCGTCGTCCGAAGACAGATGGTTTCCGGATAATAACTTTAGTATAAGTGAATAGAAATCAATAAAATTACTCCAAGGGGAAGGGGGTTCAAAAAGTTTGGGGGGATTTTTTTTTCCAATTTTTTTTTGGGGTTCATATTTTTTTTCTTCAAAATTTTTGAAATTTCAAATTAATGCACAATAGCAAGAAATCTTCAATTGCACTGTATTGCGCAATAGCAAGAAATCTTCAATTGCACAACCATTGGACGTTAAGCAACCAACAATCAATCAATCAATCAATTGCACAGTATTGCGCAATAGCAAGAAATCTTCAATTGCACAGTATTGCGCAATAGTAAGAAACCTTCAATTGCACAGTAATGCTCAATAGCACAGTATTGCACAATAGCACACTGAGTATTGCGCAATAGCAAGAAATCTTCAATTGCACTGTATTGGGCAATAGCAAGAAATCTTCAATGCACAGTATTGCGCAATAGCAAGAAATCTTCAATAGCACAGTATTGCACAATAGCAAGAAATTTCCAATTGCACAATATTGCGCAATAGCAAGAAATCTTCAATTGCACAGTATTGCACAATAGCATAGTATTGCGCAACAACAAAGTATTGCGCAATAGCAAAAAATCTTCAATTGCACAGTATTGCGCAATAGCAAGAAATCTTCAATTGCACAGTATTGCTCAATAGCAAGAAATCTTAAATTGCACAGTATTGCGCAATAGCAAGAAATCTTCAATTGAAAATAAATACAAATCTTTGAACCAATTTCAATGGGATTAATTTAAAGTCTTTAATTTTTGGGAGTTCTATCCTTGTATTACTTTTATGGATATTGGGCCCCATTTTTAAATTGGTCTACATTGAGATTAAAAGGGTCCAAAATTAAACTTTGTTTGATTTTCATCAAAAAACTGAATTATTGTGGCTGTATGATATGCTGAATCTTATTGTGCATTTAGATTTTTATATGACCGCAAAAATTAAAAATTTTTTGGTTGTATTTTGGTATCACGTTGTCGTCATCGTTGTCGTCGTCGTCCGAAGACAGATGGTTTCCGGATAATAACTTTAGTATAAGTGAATAGAAACCAATAAAATTTTAACACAAGGTTTATAACCACAAAAGGAAGGTTGGGATTGATTTTGGGGGTTATGGTCCCAAAGGTTTAGGAATTAGGGGCCAAAAAAGGGGCCCAAATAAGCATTTTTATACGCCCGTCAAATTTTTGACGGGACGTATTATGTTATACAAATGTCCGGCGTTTGTCCGTCTGTCTGTCCGTCTGTCTGTCCGTCTGTCTGTCCAGCGTAAACATGTCGCACCGTAACTTGAGAATGACTTATCCAAATTTCATGAAACTTAACATAGTTGTTTCTTATGATGGTCAAACGATCAGTATACTTTTTGGTGAAAATAAGATTAAAACTTTTAGAGTTACGGGACTTAGTAACTAAAACAGGTGTGTGTTTTTTTTCACATGTCGCGCCGTATCTCAAAAACAATTTATGATTATTGCTTAAAACTTTACACACTTCTTAGTTATATTAATCTTAAGATCTGTATACTTTTTGGTGATGATTCAAAATTTTATTTTTGAGTTATTGAGTATTTTGTTAAAAAGGGGGAGGGATTTTTCACATGTCGCGCTGTATCTCAAAAACAGTTTATGATTATTGCTTAAAACTTTACACACTTCTTAGTTATATTAACCTTAAGATCTGTATACTTTTTGGTTTTGATTCAAAATTTTATTTTTGAGTTATTGAGTATTTTGTAAAAAAAGGGGGAGGGGTTTTTCACATGTCGCGCCGTATCTCAAAAACAGTTTATGATTATTGCTTAAAACTTTTCACACTTCTTAGTTATATTAACCTTAAGATCTGTATACTTTTTGGTTTTGATTCAAAATTTTATTTTTGAGTTATTGAGTATTTTGTAAAAAAAGGGGGAGGGGTTTTTCACATGTCGCGCCATATCTCAAAAATGATTTATGATTATTGCTTAAAATTTTACACACTTCTTAGTTATATTAATCTAAAGATCTGTATACTTTTTGGTTTTGATTCAAAATTTTATTTTTGAGATATTGATTTTTTTTTTAAAAAGGGGTGTTTTCACATGTCGCGCCGTATCTCAAAAACGATTTATGATTTTTGCTTAAAATTTTACACACTTCTTAGTTATATTAATCTAAAGATCTGTATACTTTTTAGTTTTGATTCAAAATTTTATTTTATAGATATTGAGTTTTTTGTTAAAAAAAAAAGGGGGTTTTCGCATGTCACGCCGTATGTCAGAAACTATTTATGCTTATTGCATAAAAATTCACACACAAGACGACGGGCGTATCATGCGCTCATGGCGCAGCTGTTTATTATGAAACTTTGGTGACTGGTTTATATCTATTAAGATAACCTCCCTTTAGTTTTTCATAAATTTCTGATATGACATTGAGAAGTTATTGCACTTTATTCTTTCAAAACGCGATGGGCGTATCATGCGCTCATAGCGCAGCTGTTTATTACAGTTTCCAGACAATAACTTGTGTTTAAGTGTATGAATCTCTCTGAAATTATACCACAAGTTTCCATACAACAAAGGGATGGTTACGGGGGGTTATGGCTCAAACCATTTAGCAATTAGGGGCAAAAAAGGGGGAAAAACAAGGGTTTTTATGGTTAAGGTATAAAACCACTAATTCACAGCCCCATTGCTTTCTATGTTAAATTCTGCAATTTCAAACATAAATGGCTACTTTGTCTGAAGTTCAAATAAAGTGGCAGTTATTTCATGTCAAAACTGTACTTTATGCTGACTTGTGCTGAAAAAATCAACATACCTTTAATTGCATATTAGAGCGTACTGGTTCCCGGAAGTTTGATAGTACAAAAACAGGAACTTCTGATCTGAACAACAGGCCAAATGAGCCCTCCTATTAAAATTGCATATACTTCTTTATTATTCAAATAAAACTTTCAACAAGGGTTCTACAGTGATCCCAAGTCCCCAAGCTTTCATTTGATACTAAAACTACCCAAATATTCCCACTATTGACAAAGATACAGCTATGTGTAGGAACTATTTTGTTTAAAATATGTACTACTTTCTTGTATGTTCTTTCCGACCGGGCCTGAATTAGTGGTTCTATACCTATAACAGCACCAAACTTGTTATATTGACTTCTGCTTGACTTAATTTCCTTCTATGATCTATTTCTAGCATAGAAAAACACATAAAGCTTTTGTCAAAACACTATATCACTGAATTCAAGCTCGAATTGGACTGGTAGTAACATATGCGTTAAATAAAGAAAACTACATATGGATACCAATAGTGACAGATATGACACTTTTTCAATTTTTACCAGTTCTGATTTGTTAATATCTACTCAAATAACAGTGTTCTTACCTATATGTCTTATTTTTATCAGAAATTCTTCCTTGAATATAAATACAGTGGTCCAAACATGAAATATAATTGATAATTTTGTCCCCCCTTTTTTCTACATGTTGGAAAAGGAGAGTGCTTTGGTAAAAAAATCATACTTTTATGTATAAACATGGATCAACAAGAGCAATTTATGTATCTCCAAGCTAGACAACTTGCTAAAATGGTTATTAAATGCATTTCAAGAGAGATTTTGGAATTCCTATGTAAGTATACACCAATTTTCCTTGAAATAAATAATTCACCAAGAAACACAATAAAACTTGAACACTCACTAGATAATTTGACCAAAAACAATATTTATACTATAAACTAGTCATAATATACAAGTTTCATTGGTTTCAGTGTTAGATAATCCAAAAATTTAAATTTCAGGTAAAATCTTAACTGTGTGCATGCTAAATGACCAAAAAAGGCTAAACTACCTTATTGTAGCAATTTGAGGGCTGTAATTTGACACTAACATAATTGTTACATAAAAAAAATAATGTAACATGATTTCTGACAACAAATGTGACCAGTTTTCACTGTAAAGGGTATGATTTCTAAAAATAGAATTTCACATGCCTGTCAGTAATAGGTATAAAACCACTAATTCACAGCCCCATTGCTTTCTATGTTAAATTCTGCAATTTCAAGCATAAATGGCTACTTTGTCTGAAGTTCAAATAAAGTGGCAGTTATTTCATGTCAAAACTGTACTTTATGCTGACTTGTGCTGAAAAAATCAACATACCTTTAATTGCATATTAGAGCGTACTGGTTCCCGGAAGTTTGATAGTACAAAAACAGGAACTTCTGATCTGAACAACAGGCCAAATGAGCCCTCCTATTAAAATTGCATATACTTCTTTATTATTCAAATAAAACTTTCAACAAGGGTTCTACAGTGATCCCAAGTCCCCAAGCTTTCATTTGATACTAAAACTACCCAAATATTCCCACTATTGACAAAGATACAGCTATGCGTAGGAACTATTTTGTTTAAAATATGTACTACTTTCTTGTATGTTCTTTCCGACCGGGCCTGAATTAGTGGTTCTATACCTTAAAGGACAATTTAGACAATTTAAAAGCAGTGTAAGGGAGGTAATCCAATTCATTTAAAGAATACTGTTGTATATATGTTTGATTACCTCCCTTACACTGCTTGTAAATTATGTATTAAGAATTTATGATTGTCTTGACATGATTAGCTGTAAATTTATTTTTAGAAGTTACTATTAATTAATATTAATTTTAACCATGTCATTTTATATTTTAATATTTTATGATGTATTTAAATGAGTAGTTATGGTTGCAAACTCTATTAGAAATTTGAATTGAGATTATTTTTGGAATAAGGGAAAGGGGGAGTTGAAAAAAATTTGGGGGGGGGGGGGGGGGTAAATAAGAATTTGTGGGGGGCTACAATTTTTCTCCTTTCAGATTTCAGAAATTAAAAAGAAAATTTCTTCAAATATTTTTTTTTGGGGATGGGTTAATATTCAACAGCATATATAGTGTATTGCACAAAAGCAAAAAAAACGGGTAAATTTTTTTTTGGGGGGGGGGGGGGGGGGCAATTCGCCACAGCATAGTGTATTGCACAAAAGCAAAAAATTGAATATAAATTCAAATCATATAACCAATTTTAAGTTCTTTGACTACAGTTATTCTGTGTCAGAAACCTATTATGTGTCAAATATTTAATTACAATCCAAATTCAGACCTGTATCAAGTGCGAATATTGTGTCCATATTTGCCCCAACTGTTCAGGGTTCGACCTCTGCGGTCGTATCCAGCTGCGCTCAGCGAAGCATTTTATTTAATTTGGGCCCTGTTTTCAAAATAAGTCCATATTAAGGTTAGAAAGGTCTAAAATTAAACTTTGTTTGATTTCAACTAAAATTAAATTTTTGGTGTTTTTTTATATGCTGAATCTGACCATGTTGTTAGATTTTGGATATCAGACCATTCTAGGTAAATTAAATGTCCCATTTCAAATTTTTAAGATCTTTGACCACATTTATTTTGTGTCAGAAACCTATATTATGTCAAAATTTTTATCACAATCCAAATTCAGACAGTATCAAGCTTGAATATTGTGTCCAAACTTGCCCCAACTGTTCAGGGTTAGACCTCTGCGGTCGTATCTGGCTGCGCTCAGCGAAGCATTTTATTCATTATATTAAAATTTTCTAATTGAATTGTATCCTCTACAAAGTGTTTTCATTCAGTTTTTATACACCTGTCAAATTTTTGACGGGACGTATTGTGGTATACAAATGTCTGGCGTCCGTCCGTCTGTCTGTTCGTCTGTCTGTCCGGCGTAAACATGTCGCACCGTAACTTGAGAATGACTTATCCAAATTTCAAGAAACTTAACGTAGTTGTTTCTTGTGATGGTCAAACGATCAGTATACTTTTTGGTGAAAATAAGATTAAAACTTTTTGAGTTACGGGACTTAGTAACTAAAACAGGTGTGTGTTTTTTTTCACATGTCGCGCCGTATATCAAAAACAATTTATGATTATTGCTTAAAACTTTACACACTTCTTAGTTATATTAATCTTAAGATCTGTATACTTTTTGGTGATGATTCAAAATTTTATTTTAGAGATATTGAGTATTTTGTTAAAAAAGGGGAGGGGTTTTTCACATGTCGCACCGTATCTCAAAAACAGTTTATGATTATTGCTTAAAACTTTACACACTTCTTAGTTATAATAACCTTAAGATCTGTATACTTTTTGGTGATGATTCAAAATTTTATTTTTGAGTTATTGAGTATTTTGTAAAAAAAGGGGGAGGGGTTTTTCACATGTCGCGCTGTATCTCAAAAACGATTTATGATTATTGCTTAAAATTTTACACACTTCTTAGTTATATTAATCTAAAGATCTGTATACTTTTTGGTTTTGATTCAAAATTTTATTTTTGAGATATTGATTTTTTTTTTTTTTAGAAGGGGGGGTTTTCACATGTCGCGCCGTATTTCAAAAACGATTTATGATTATTGCTTAAAATTTTACACACTTTTTAGTTATATTAATCTAAAGATCTGTATACTTTTTGGTTTTGATTCAAAATTTTATTTTAGAGATATTGAGTTTTTTGTAAAAAAAAAAGGGGGTTTTCGCATGTCACGCCGTATGTCAGAAATTATTTATGCTTATTGCATAAAAATTCACACACAAGACGACGGGCATATCATGCGCTCATGGGGCAGCTGTTTTTTTATTATATGCCGTCATAAAAAGGACTAAATTTGGTAAACTGTTTTCCATCTGTCTGTCAACAATCGTTTACAAGCAAGAAAATGCTTTGACCAAGATAACTGAAGGAGTTTTATATGGAGAGATTAAAGTTGTGTTCCTAGGATATAGAAAATATCAGTTTTAAGCACTTTCTGTCATGCCTGAATGAATATTGATTACAGTAGATATTCGGTATATAGTTTAATCATCAAATTTTACAGATCCAGTTTTTATTTCATTCCATTTGAGTAATTTTTATACGCCCGTCAATTTTTGACGGGATGTATTATGGTATACAAATGTCCGGTGTCCGTCCGTCTGTCCGTCTGTCTGTCCGGCGTAAACATGTCGCACTGTAACTTGAGAATGACTTATCCAAATTTCATGAAACTTAACATAGTTGTTTCTTATGATGGTTCCACCTTTTATCATCAACCCCTTGGATATGTTTGATTACCAACAAAATTCACTTGAATAAAGCCTCTCCTGAGGCAGTAAACTTTTTTGTTGTACTGCTAAGCAGTTGCCTCTTAGAAAGAAGTTGGGGGCAAGGGGTATGCGAGTTAGCTTACTAAGGTTTTTCAATTCCTGTCCAGTTATAATTACTGCCATGTTTAAATATATTGTTGGTCAAATAATATTTTTTACTTGTCATTGTAGATTACTGTTTGTTTTATTTGTTAAAGGTTGAAATACAGACACCAGGAAGGAGTGGTAAGCTGCCAATGGTACGATGCAGAAACCCTTGGGGTAATGAGAGTGAATGGAAAGGAGCCTTTAGTGATGAGTAAGCATTCCTAAAACTTAATTTGTTTCATTTGTTAAAAGAATTTTATTTGTTACTGAGGGAGTGACAGGAACTGGTATGGATGGTTTAAACAAATTGTTTAAATGTTTATAATTTAAAAGATAAGTTTGAAGTAAACCTGATGCAATTTCAACAAAAAATTGTGTGCAATAAATTCCTTATTTTTCAACCTACATTTCTGATGCCACAAAAATGTTGAACAAGTTGGTTATTTTTGTCCTGCCTGCAACAAAAGTAGCAGAATGCAATACAAAGGGAATACTATGTGGTGGCAGCAATGTTAACTATTTGTATAAGGCTTTATACTTCAGAAGACCTGGATGCTTCTTCTATGCAGATCCATTATGTTAGTGTTACAAAGTTTCAGTTTGTCATATGTCCATTGTCCTTGACCCCATTTTCATGGCTCAAAGACTGCTTGAAAAATTATTGTTTGTGATATTCTCACATATTATGAGCAATAAGTTAACTATATTTGGTATATGGGTGCCTTGCAAAGTCAACATGACCTCGTCCTTATTTCATTTGGAAGAGTGATCAAGGTTTAAGTTATGTGTTAAGTTCCGTTTCTCAGATACTATAAGCAGTAGGTCAACTATAAGCTGTGTATGGAATGTTTGTAAGGGGTACATGGCAGTCATGCTCATCTGACCATGACCTCATTTTCATGGTTCATTGGTCAATATTAAGTTTTTGTGGTTTGCTCTGTATTTTAAATACTATAAGCAATAGGTCAACAAAATTTGATTAACGGGATGATTGTACATTGAAAATGTCCGTTTGGCAGGTATCATTTGTCTTTGACCTCATTTTTTTGGTTCATTTGTCAATGTTAATTTTCCGTAGTGTGGTCCTCTTCTCAGATACTATAAGTAAAAGGTCAACTATATTTGGAGTATGGAATGATTGTAAGGTGTACATGTTTGTCTGCCAGGGTTTATCTAACCTTGACCTTATTGTTATTGATCATTGATAATGTTAAGTTTATGTGATCAATATAAGTAGTAAAACCTTGATTTTTAAGACCTCAACATTAAATCAATGTGGTCAGTAAAGCAGGCGAGACATTTCAGCGTGTGCACTCTTGTTTAAATTAGTTATGGCTTACTGATTATTTAAGGCACCATCAAGGATGGAAATCTGGGGAAAAATTGAGGTATAAACTTGATAAAAATATTCTAAATTGAAAAATAGAAAAATTTTGAGAAACATCTTCAGTGATCTCCCATGGCTGTTTTAGTGTCACGGCACTGCATCGCTATAATTTTTTCCATTACACTATAATTATTTAAGATTCTATTTTTTCTTGTCTCTATACATTACTGCAAAATTGAACCATGTCCTAATTTTTGTTGTATATTGGTATGACGTTGGTGTCGTCGCCGTTGTCGTCCAAAGACACATTGGTTTTCGCACTCTTACTTTAGTTTAAGTGAATGGATCTCTATGAAATTTTACCATAAGGTTCAATACCACAAAAGAAAGGTTGGGACTGATTTTGGGGGTTATGGTACCAACAGTTAAGGAATTAGGGGCCAAAAAGGGGCCAAAAATAAGCATTTTTGTAACTTCCAGACATAACTTGTGTGTTATAGTATGGATTTCTCTGACATTGTACCACAAGGTTCCATATCACAAAGGGAATGCTGGGATTGATTTTGGGGGTAATTGTCTCAAAATTTTAGGAATTAGGGGCCAAAAAAGGGGCAAGAAACAAGCATTTTTTCTAGTTTCATGAGAATAACTTGTGTGTAAGTGTATGGATCTTTCTGAAATTGTACTACAAGGTTCCATATCACAAAAGGAAAGCTGGAATTCGGTTGCCCAAAACGTTTAGGAAAAAGGGGCCAAAAATAAGGCAGATTTTACAGTATTGTGTTCTGCCTCCTACTTCCATGATAAATAATTAAAGAAGGCATTACACAAAAAAAAATTATATTTTCTGAAAATTTACTATCAGTAGATCATAATTCTTCAAAAAAGGAGTAAATAATGTAAGAGATTATTGAATGGTTGCCAAAGAAACAGGATACCCACATTTTCTCCTTTTGCACCCTGGTCCAAAATTTCATTAATTTTGGTTTAAAGCCTTTAACCAGCAATAAAACCAAAATAAATTCTGAAAGGTAAAAGGTTTAGGAAGATATTCAGCATCTTTCTCATTACTATTTCTAATATATTAGTGGAAAAAAAATATGTTTAAGATGATGGACATGTGACATATGGAAAATGGGACAAAAGTTTATGTTTTTCAAAGTAAATGACATCTAATACACAGTAAAAAGAATTGAATAAGTATAAAGTTGCATGTGTTGCCAATATTTACTTTTTACTAGTTTAATTTGTGCCAGATTCTTAAAAGAAAACATGTTTTGAATTAAGGCTGTTGCTAATGTGACGGAGACAAAAATGAGTAACGTTAGCGACATTTGGACATGTCACATTAGCAACAGCATCTTTAAAAAATAAAATGTATGCACACAGTCGTGCTTTATAAATGCTTTGAGTAATTAAATTGTACAGTCTGGTTTAGAATATCTAAATATACAGAATGTCATTGGCAGGTGTACTTTGTATCAAATGAATACACAAGAAACCAATTTGTAATAGTAACATTAGCAACATCTTCTTCAGTAATACATTAAGAAAATTTGCTATCTAGATGGGTCGCACTAAATAGGGCCAAAATTGTTACAGGAGGTGAAAAATAAGATTCATGATATCTTTATCGAAAAAGTTTTCAGATGTAACTGAATGATTCTTCTAGATCTGTTCATATCTTTAGTCGTGAACTGAGATGTTGATATGATATGAGTACCAAATGCAATAAGAACTGTTCTTTGTACCAGACTGACACACCAGATTTTATGGATGGATGGATTAATTATTGTTTAACGTCCAGTGTCAACCTAGTATGTGCACATCAGGACGAGAACAAGTTGATGTAATATGATCTCTGCTTTGTACTAGACCGACACTCTTAGATGGATTTTCCACAAAGACACATTATACAGACTCTGTTGCCTCTGTAAGCTGACCTTTGCTTTTACTCCTAGATGCTTTTGGCTTGGATGAGAAGCAGCAAAGACCCAATTTTAATGTCTTATTTTATCTGGCTACGAATTTAACCTGCAACCTTTGGCACTCAAAACAGAAAGGGGATATGGATTATTTATGAAGCACAAGCCAAAATGCCCATGTAATGTCTACCAAGAAACATCAAACAACAGAAGAATGAACAATTTCAAATCAATTCGCAGTGAAGATGGAAATACCATAGTGATCAATGCCTCAATGACTTTCACCATGGATTTTGGTAAAGAAAGTCTTTTGCAGTCTTCAGAACACCTTGCTTTGCCCATTTAATTCATGATGCATTTGCATTCAAAAGTCGAAAATACTGCCTAGACTAAGAAGCTTAAAAATATTTTAATGTTTGAAAAATTTATCGTCTCTGTTAGTTCTGGAGGACTGCATCTGAAAGAAAATAAATTGAAAATATTACTGGTATATGAATACAATTTAAAAAATGAACAACTATTAAAATTTTTAAAATGTATTGAAGTACTGCCTTCAAATTTACTTCAATCAAGACATAGTTTTTTGCCGAATGCTTTCAGTATATATGGTAATTAAAGATATGTTGTCATCATTAATTATAGCTAGAACAGTTCAAGTTACCATCTTCTTTTAATGATTACCCGAGATTATGCTAAGATACCCCTGAAAATCAAATGTATGTTTACCATTTGGTAAATTTGTCTGTGAGCAATGACTTTTATGCCAATTTTGACAATTTTAAGAACTGGACTAATTTTGGCAATTAATGAACTAAGTTGTTATTATAAAAATAGAAGATGTGGTATGAAGCTCTTCGAAAAGGAAAGACTATTACCTTCAAATATATATAGTAATGAGCGCCCCTTCATTACTATATTAGACTGTTTTAATTTTCTTATATAACATCACATCAACAATATACTGTCCCAAAGTAACGATCGCTACATAAAAATCTGTCCATGTTATACCGTTCGCATCAAATTATTAAAAGAAATGTATTTTGATGAACTAGAAGACTCAACTGTACGTAAAATATGGTCAAATCTCGTTGGGAGATGAAAAACCAAAACAAAAGTTTCTTAATGTGACATTTAAATGACATTACTTGATTCAACGTTTTGTTGCGAATGTCTTTTTGATGGACGGAATACAATAAAGGACCTCGTGTAACGATATAACAGACAACTTACCTTCTTTGCTTTCCCATTATGTGAGGGAACCGGCTCCGCATCCATTTCTGCAAAGGGCGATATCGTAACTCCTATACAGGAGAGTTACAGATCTAAATATATATTGCATGTAAAGAATTTTATAAAAAACTGGAAAGTGAACCCAACTCTAAAAATTTCTACAGATTAATACACAGAAATACAAACAGCACTAAAGAACTTGCTACAACCATACTATATGATGATCATGAATTCACCGATCCAGAAGAACAAAGGGAGGCAATGGCAAAATATTTTCAAAATTTAGCAACACCTAAGGACGATCCTGACTTTGATGAAAATTTCCTAAATAACTGCCAATTCCGCTGTGAAATTATAAAAGAAATCTGTAGCTTATCTGATTTCAGTTCAGACAAATTCAACCCCGCCGAAATTTCAGAGGCAATATCAAATCTGAACAATGGAAAGGCATGCGATGAATATGGGCTTTCTGCTGAACACTTCAAATCTGCTAAAGAGGTTGTTGTTCCGTATCTTGTTTCTCTATTTAATCAAATTTTGGCTGAGAAAAAAGTACCAATCCAATTCAAAACCGGTATTCTTAATGCAGTATGCAAGAAAAATAAAGATGACAAAATACTTGATAACTACAGAGGCATCACCGTCTCGTCAATTATTGGAAAAATTTTTGAACATGTTATCCTTAATAGAATACTTCCGAAATTAGATAAACAATCAGAATTACAATTTGGCTTCACAAGTGGCCTCTCACCAGCAATGGCAGCACTACTAGTCTCTGAATCGGAACTTATATCAAAAAATCAAAAATCTAAATTAATTTTTGGACTTCTGGACTCACAAAAGGCATTTGATGTTGTTCATCATGATATTCTTCTCGACAAGTTATTTGACCAAAATATTGATCCAGATATTTGGGAAATCATTTTTGATATGTACAACAACCTTACCTCTAAAGTTAAATGGAAAAACGGATTTAGTAACAGCTTCCCTGTAGGGCAAGGAGTCCGCCAAGGAGGAATTCTATCCACCCATTTGTACAAACTGTACATTAACGACCTACTTACAGAACTTGAAGAGAATGGTATGGGCCAGTACATCGGCACAAACTTTACGGGATGTCCAACCTGTGCAGATGATATTATACTTTTGTCATCAACTGAAGAAGAAATGCAATCTATGCTAGATACATCTAAAAGATACTCAGACAAACATAGATACAAGATCCATCCAACCAAAAGCGTTATAATTAATAAATATAGTAACTCAAAAACAACGAAGAGTAAGGTTCAATTCAAACTCGATGATAAAAACATGCCATCAGCCAATCAAGGTACACATCTGGGTATCATAAGAGCAATTAAAGACCAAAATAAAACAAACATCCAGGACAGAATTAGCTTAGCCAGAAGGACAGCCTATTCTCTTATGAACGTTGGAGTACATGGTACAAACGGATTAAACCCTAAAACTTCTTATATGATATACAGAGTATACGTTCTACCAAGGCTACTTTACAGCCTGGAAGTTCTGCCACTAAATAATGGGGACATTAAGTTGCTAAGAGATTTCCACGTGAATTTTTTGAGACAAATACAAGCTCTTCCCTCACGGACAGCAATTTCAGCAGTATACTTACTCTTGGGTGCGCTCCCCATAGAGGCAGAAATTCACAAAAGAGTTCTTAGCCTGTTCCACTCCATCTTTTCATCTAATAACGAGAATCTAAAAAAGGCTCTAGAGAGGCAATATGTCCTGCAAACACATGAACTAACATTCCTTAACAGAGTAGCAGATCTTTTATACATGTATAATCTTCCTCCATGGACTTATCTGAAAGATCAATTGCCATCAAAGTTATCATGGAAATGCAAGGCAAGAGAAGCAATAAACAACTACTGGAAAGTGAATCTTCAAAGGGACGCCAATAGCAAAACAACACTAAAATTTCTCTGTATCCCTAATTTAGACATTGGAAAACCTCATACTATCTGGAATAGTCTACCACCAAATATTGGCGAACTCAGGAAAGCAACAATAAAAGCAAGGCTATGCACAGGGACATATATATTTCAATCACAGAAAGCTCGTTTCTCAAATATTAACCTTGATGCAACTTGCCCAATTTGTCAACTGGAAGAAGAAGATATCATCCATTTTCTCACTCGCTGTCCCGTTCTGGAAGGCATACGCAGAGAATCTCTAAGTGTTATCAAAAGAATTACCATCAGTAAAATTGGGCTAGGAAACTGGAATTCCAACTTTCACGAGAGAACTTGTATTGCCCAACTAATTTTGGATTGTCAGCAACTGGCTCTAAACAATATTCTCCCTCATGATAACCTTTTTCTTAATTCAATAGAAGAATTAAGCAGGAACTTATGTTATAGACTCCATCTAAAAAGAGTGTCTTCTCTTAATGTCTAGTTGTCATAAGGTCAGTGTGGTTGTACCGCGCTAAACCTTAAACAACTATCTTCAACTTCATAAAATAAAATATGGCTTTTTTCTCCAATCTAAGGAATAATCATTTATGCTTCTTCGACAGTACAACTAGGTCAGTGTGGTTGTTCCGCGCTAAACCTAACATCAATCTTTTACACAGAATAAAATGCTGCGAAAATCTAAATGTTCAAATCTTCATTTAATTTAGGTTAATATGGCTGTTCCGCGCTATACCTTCAATTGCTTTCTTTAACTCCGTAAAATGAAACAACTGAAACAACGTTTATCTTTAATCTAAAGTCATCATAAAGGTTTTTGGACAGAGCAACTAGGTCAGTGTGGGTGTTCCGCGCTAAACCTATCAATCCTTTACGTAATATTAAATGCTGAGAAAATCCATGAAATTTTAGAATAACTGGTCAGTGTGGTTGTGCCGCGCTATACCTATAGTTGGAATAAATGTACATGTTTATCGTTAGCTTTAATACCCAGTAGCTTCACATATATATATATATAACAGATAGATAATGGCTATGCATAATTAGATCGCTTAGGACATATAAGCTTATATGCATGATTTTGTTGATTTTATATCGCCTAGTAGTGCTCATAGACAGATGTAGTAACTCCAGCATGTAGCAGGCAGGAAGCTGAAAACTCGTTATTTTTTACCTTTAAGTAACATTGTTTAGTAAATGTAAAGATTTTTTACTATAATGCATGCCCTGTAAATAATATTCAAAACTTTTTTATTTTTAAAAATTTTATTAATAACTTTTAAACTGTGACCCATTTTTAATGTACATAGAAGTTATTATTAGTATCTTTGCAGGGATTTAACTGTACATAATGTTATTTTTAAATAGTTAGGTATTCACTTAATAATTTTTATAAGGATTAACCAACCTGAATTCAGTAAGGTTGGTGTACTCCAACTATTGGAGGAAGATATAGAGGAAAGAAGAAGAAGAAGTATTGCTCACGTGACATTGATTTGGACGGAAACGTAGAGCAGTAACGTTCGCAAAAACGAAAACAGCCAATGATATTGATTCCGAAAGTCCTTTGACCCCCTTTCGTCATCAAAATTTAATGTGATTGCTATTTATATCAATTATTTATAAAACCCGAGTTAAAAATAACAACGGGCCGTCTGAGAACCAACAAATAAATTGAGATCGTAACATACCACAATGGACGAAAAAGATGTGACGTTCGCAATAATATTATTAAATTACCTTTTTTAGCCTTTACCAATAAAAATGTGCCTTAGAATTATAATTAAAACACAAAAGAATACTTTTTATTAAAATATAAGTCCATGTTATTAGGCTCCACTTAAAAATAATACTTTAAAATTCCACTCCAAATAAGCTAGATGTCAGTCAAGTAGGTCACAATGTCTATTCAATGTCCAATATTTTGAAATTGAAAACCCACTAATTCTAACAAAAAACATAAACACAGGGTGATTTTTATTTTTATTTACTCAGAAAGACACCTTTTATTAAATAAAATAATGCATTACTTCATTTCACACTCTGTTTCACAGTTTCAGCAATACCTTTTTTGATGGATACAAAAAAGCAATACTTCCTTTTTATTGTAAAATCTGCCATAAGCATTTTTCTAGTTTCCAGACAATAACTTGTGTTCAAGTGTATGGATCTCTCAGAAATTGTACTGCAAGGTACCATACACAAAGGGAAGGCTTGGATTGATTTTGGGGGTAATTGCCTCAAAATTTTAGGAATTAGGGGCCAAAAAGGGGCAAAAAACAAGCATTTTTTTAGTTTCAGGACAATAACTTGTGTTGTATGGATCTTTATGAAATTGTACTACAAGGTTCCATATCACAAAGGGAAAGCTGGTTTTGGGTTGGGGGGTAATTGCCCTAAATGTTTAGGAATTTGGGGCCAAAAAGGGGCCAAAAAATAAGCATTTTTCTAGTTTCCAGACAATAACTTGTGTTCAAGTGTATGGATCTCTCTGAAATTGTACTGCAAGGTACCATACCACAAAGGGAAGGCTGGGATTGAGTTTGGGGGTGATGAATCATAAGGGGGTTTTTCCTTTTTTTCCTTTTTTTTTTTCTTTAAAATTTTCCATTTTAAGTTGGTTATTTCTGATTTATATATAAAAGCAAATAATAATGATATGGTTTGATTTCATCAAAAATTGAAATATTGGGGTTCTTTGATATGCTGAATCTAACCGTGTATTTAAATTCTTAATTTTTGGTTCTGTTTTCAAATTGGTCTACATCAAGGTCCAAAGGATCCAAAATTAAAGTTATTTTGATTTTAACAAAAATTGAATTTTTGGGGTTCTTTGATATGCTGAATCTTAACATGTATTTAGATTTTTGATTATGGGCCCAGTTTTCAAGTTGGTCCAAATCGGGGTCCAAAATTAAACTTTGTTTGATTTCATTAAAAATTGAATTATGGGGGTTCTTTGATATGCTGAGAGTTTTGGTCCCAACAGGAATGTGGGGCCAAAAAAAGGCCCAAATAAGCATTTTTCTAGTTTTCAGACAATAACTTGTGGAATGGTGTATGGATCTCTCTGAAATTATACCACAAGTTTCCATACCACAAAGGGATGGTAAGCATTGGCTTTGGGGGGTTATAAGTAATAAGGGGCAAAAAAGGGGGAAAAACAAGTGTTTCCAGGTTAATGGACAATTACTTAAGTACAAAACATAATTTAAAAGCAGTGTAAGGTTGGTAATTCAAACTCATTTGAATATCTCACCTACACTGCTTTTAAATTATGTATATTGGAAATTTGCCAAAACTTTATTGTTAATATATTCCATTGGAAATTTGCCAATAATTTTAGTATAATAAACTCCATTGGAAAGTAAGAATTGGCTTTGGGGGGTTATGGCTCAAACCTTTAAGGAATAAGAGGCAAAAAAGCGGGAAAAACAAGGGTTTCCAGGTTAATAGACAATTACTTAAGTACAAAACATAATTTAAAAGCAGTGTAAGGTTGGTAATTCAAACTCATTTTAATATCTCACCTACACTGCTTTTAAATTATGTATATTGGAAATTTGCCAATAACTTTATTGTTAATAAATTCCATTGGAAATTTGCCAATATAAAATATTGCTGATGAAGGTTTTTTGTTTATTTTTAGCCATGACTATGATGTCATTTTCTATTTTAATAGCCTTATGGTGTATTTAAATATTTTAATACTTTTATGATATTTAAATAGGTTTTTATGGTTGCAAATTTATTGGGGTTATTTGAATATCTCAGCTACACTGGTTTTAAATTATGTATATTGGAAATTTGCCAATAACTTTAGTATTAATAAATTCCATTGGAAATTTGCAAATAACTTTAGTATAGTAAACTCCATTGGAAATTTGTCAATATAAAATGTTGCTGATGAAGGTTTTTTGTTTATTTTTAGCCATGACTATGATGTAATTTTCTATTTTAATACCTTTATGATGTATTTAAATGGGCTGTTATGGTTGCAAAGGAATTTTATTCTTAGATATTACTATAAAATGTTGCTGATTAAGGTTTTTTAACCATGTATTTAGATTTTTATTTGTGGGCCTGCTATCAAATTGGTTCATATTATAATAATAATAATAATAATAAATTCTTTATTTAAAGAGGGTAAACTCAGTTAGTTACAATAAACTAATCTTCCCTGAGGCCCTCACATACAAATTACAATACAATAAAAAAAAAAAAAACAGATATTTACACATAGTTAATTTACAGTCAATTAGTTCAATGTAATACTACTAACATGATAAGATATAAGGCTGTTCAAGATGTACATGTAGTCAAAAAATCAAATACAAATATAAATAAAAGAATATACAAATACATTGTAGAAAACATAATCTTATCAGGACTGTGTTAAGTACTTCTTGATACTTTGTTTAAAAGTATAAGTGTTTTGAGCTTTACGCATTTTGTTTGGTAGTCCATTCCATAACACTGATATTGAGGTCAAAAGGGTCCAAAATTAAACTTTGGTTTGATTTCATCAAAAATTGAATATTGGGGTTCTTTGATATGCCAAATCTAACCGTGTATTTAGATTTTTAATTTTGGGTCCTGTTTTTTAAATTGGTCTACATTAAGGTCCAAAGGGTCTAAAATTAAACTTAGTTTGATTTTAACAAAAATGGAACTATTGGGGTTCATTGATATGCTGAATCTAAATATGTGTTTAGATTTTTGATTATGGGCCCAGTTTTCAAGTTGGTCCAAATTGGGGTCCAAAATTAAACTTTGTTTGATTTCAACAAAAATTGAATATATGGGGTTCTTTGATATGCTGAATCTAACCATGTATTTAGATTTTTGATTTTTGGGCCCCGTTATCAAATTGGTCCACATTGAGGTCAAAAGGGTCCAAAAATAAACTTTGTTTGATTTCATCAAAAATTGAATTCTTAGGATTCTTTGATATGCTGAATCTAACCATGTATTTAGATTTTGGATATTGGACCATAATAGGTAAATTAAAAAAATTTAAGTTCTTAGACCACATTCATTCTGTGTCAGAAACATATGCTGTGTCAAATATTTAGTCACAATCCAAATTCAGAGCTGTATCAAGCTTGAATGTTGTGTCCATACTTGCCCCAACTGTTCAGGGTTCGACCTCTGCGGTCGTATCAATCTGCGCCCAGCGGAGCATTTTATTATTGATAAATTATACTTTCTTTTCCTTTTTGATATATAAAAAGTTCTTTTTTATACTAGATACTTAGTTAGTAGTTTCTGACAAGAGGAAAAATAAAATTGTGTAACTATAAATGAATATCTAAGACATAAACTGAAACAACCGTTTCTTTAATTGTATTGTTGGGTATGAATTGAACGATATAAAGAATAATTAAATGAATAGAATATGGCAGCGATACAACAGACAAATGACATTGAAAAAAAATACTATTTATATTTTTACACCAAATGTGATGCTATCCAAAATTTCTGTGGAGAGTACTGCATCTTCTTTTGCTAGGACTTTAACAAAACTTGATATAAAGGTATAATATGCTATTCCAAAAAGGTTCTACATGTATTTGTAAAAAAATTATACAGTGACCTCCAGTTTTTGTCTCGCCTTGACGGAGTCAAATTGCGAGACATAGGTATGCTTTTTCCGGCGTCGACGGCAGCAGCGTCAACAATGTATTAGTTTGTGATTAGGTCTAGTTTATGGTGAACCACTAGTTGTAGGTCAATGATATTTGGTATGCAGTTGTATAAGCATTGGCACATCTCATTACCATGGAGTTTATTTGGTCCTTACCCCTCAGTCACGGTCTATTGACTTTGAAACTTTTGCTTAGTTTATATGTATTAGTTTGTGATTAGGTCAGTTTAAGATGAACCACTTATGTTAAGTCATTGATATTTGGTATGCAAATGTATTGGCATTTGCAAGTTTCATTTCCACGGAGATTATATAACCCCACCTCCTCATTATGGTTCATTGACTCTGAAACTTTTGCATAGTTTACAAGTTAATGTTTGTGTTTAGGTTTGTTTAAAGGGAACGATTTATGAAAAAGTCAATGGTATTTGGTATGCAGTTGTATTAGCATTGGCACATCTGATTTCCAGTGAAATTGTTTAGCCCTGTACCTTCAGTCATGGTTCATTGACTTTAAATATTTGCATAACTTACATGTTAAAGTATTGCTATTTTAATTTCAACATTTGCATTATCAAAATGACAAATAGGCAAGACATATCTCTGTGTTAACAGTTTATGAAATGGCTGCCATTATACATAAAGAACTAAGGTCAGCTGTGATTTTTGTCAAGCCTGTGATGTGGGACATAGGGATTACCATCCGGTGTTGGCGCATCATTTACTATTTGTATAAAGCTTTATATTTCAGAGGGTAGAAGACCTGGATGCTTCATACTTTGTATACAGATGCCTTATGTTATGAAGTTTCGTCTGTCATATGTTATCTGTCCTTGACCTCATTTTCATGGTTCATGGGACTGCTTAAAAAAGAACAGTTTTTTTGGTCATGTGAATTTCTCACTTATTATGAGTTATAAGATCACTACATTTGGTAAAAGGGTGCCTTGCAAGGTGTATATTTCTGTCAAACAGATTTCACTTGACCCTGACCTCATTTCATGGAACAGGGAACAAGGTTAAAGTTATATGATTAGGTCCGTTTCTTAGATACTATAAGCAGTAAGTTATATATATATGGTGTATGGAATCATTGTAAGGTACATGTCAGTCTAGCATTGACATAATTTCCATGGTTCATTGGTCAATGTTAAAAGTTTTTAAATTTTGGTCTGTTTTTCAAATACTATAAGTATGGAATGATTGTAAGGTGTACAGTCTAAAATTTAAAAACTTAACATTGACCAATGCTAGACTGACATGTACCTTACAATGATTCCATACACTACATATAGATAACCTACTGCTTATATCATCTGTCCTTGACCTCATTTTCATGGTTCTTTGGTCAATATTGAGTTTTTGTAGTTTGGTCCTCTTCTCAGATACTATAAGAAATAGTTAACTATATATTCGCCAACAGAGAAGCATCAATCAAAAGGTATTTATATTTGCAATATAAAAATCCTTTATTGTTTAAGAAACATGTGACTTATAGACCATTTAACCTATCTTTTTTTGCCTTATTTCAGGTCAGAAAGATGGAAGTATATAACAGATTCTGACAAAGAAGAAATTGGATTGACTCAAGAGGATGATGGTGAATTCTGGTATGAATTTGAGGGATGACTTTTTCAGTTAAAAGCTTTGACTTAATGCTTAGTTTTTAGACCTGAATATGATTTCCTTTCATTGCATTGAGGCAGATATTAAATTATGTAGAATATAATTGAGTAGTTACTGGGGAATCATATATTAATTGGTTTTACTGAGAGATATATGAGTACTCACTGGCAAAAATATCTACAAAATGGGTAAAAAATACAAGTATGAACATTAATAAGAACCGAAGCAGTTGAAAAGCTATCTGACTATATTAAGCTGCTCTCGTGTGAGGCCCATCACTTTAAAAGACACATCTCAGGACTCAGTTTTTCCAATCTGACGATTTTGGAGGCTTTTTTAAACAACAATTTAGCACAAACATACTTAATGTTTTATAACTCTTGCTATGATTAATCAGTGAAGGTCTGTGATTACTGTTTGATTCTTTGAGGTGTGTTCACATTATAATCTATTTTATGAAAAGAAAGGCACGATGTCTTAATAGGCAACTGATTAGTCAAGTATCATTTTGCTGTTCGATACTAAGTACTACTGAGCGATACTTGAGTATTCATTAAAAGACCAGACTTATTGGGTTGCATTAAGAGCAGGCAATTATTTGGAATAATACTAGGTACTTTTCTATGATACTCGAGTTATATGATACTTGTTGACATTCATATCATCATGTAATGGACAGAAAATTCATAAAAAGACCAGACTTTAAGGATCATCTGGAGACTCCTTATTTTAGTTATTGCTCTTTAATGGCAATTTTTATCAATTTTTTGTGTTTTGTCTAGTATCTAAAAAACTAAAATAGATAGATAAAAACTTAGATGAAAGCTGAGTTTTATTGTTTGTTCTTATGTTGTACTGTTACACCACTCTCCCAGGTTAGGGGAGGGGGGCTTGGCCCCAGCAAACATATTTAACCCTGCCACATTCTGTATGTGCCTGTCCCAAGTCAGGAGCCTGTAATTCAGTGGTGGTCGTTTGTTGTTTTATATCATATTTGTTTTTCATTCATTGTTTTGTACATAAATCAGGCCGTTAGATATCTCGCTTGAATTGTTTTACATTTGTCATTTTGGGGCCTTTTATAGCTGAATATGAGGTATGGGTTTTGCTCATTGTTGAAGCTGTTCAGTGACCTATAGTTGTTAATTTCTATGTCATTTGGTCTCTGGTGGAGAGTCTCATTGGCAATCATATCACACTCTTCTTATATTATATTAGATAATCAGCAAGACAAGATCTACAATAATTGTAATGACTGAAATCGTCAGTCAACTCCTTATTGGAGTTCTTGCTCCTTAATGACAATTTTACAATTTTTTTTTCGTTTTTGCCTATTATCTTGAAAATTATTAGATACCGGTAGATCAACTCTTTAAAAAGCAAAAATGATCAGCTAAACCAGATCTACAAAGACCTAGGTGAGCAACACAGGCTCTTTAGGACCTCTAGTTTTTCTTGCCAAGGAGAGCTTTTTTTTGGCAGTGTCCAAGTCATCAACAATGTAATAGTTTGCGATTATGTCATGTTAATGGGAACCACCAATGTTATTTGGTATGCAGTTGTATAAGCATTTGCACATCTCATATCCATGGAGGTTATTTGACCCCACCCCCTCAGTCTAAAGGTTTATTGACTTTGAATCTTTGTATAATTTACCTGATAGATTTTGCAATTAACTTAGATTTTTAAGATGAACATCTAGAGTGCAGTTGTATTAGCACGTGCATGTCATATTTCCATGGTGACTATTAGCTCTGTCCCTTCAGTCATGGTTCATTGACTGAAACTTTTGCATCTTTGATATGTTAAAATTTGTGTTTAGATCATGATTAAAGATTAATTGTCCCCCGCACAACACGTTGTGGGGGAGATAGAATTACCAGGCTGTCTGTCCGACCGTCGTCAACATGTCAGACAATAACTCAAAAACACTATAACCAATTTGTAGGAAACTTTGATGAATTGTTTATATCTATTGACATGAGCTCCCTTTCGAATTTTATAAATTTTAGATTTAAAGTTTCCGAGTTATGGGGTGTTATTCATTAAAAAAGGGGGATTTTCCAGTTTTTGGACAATAACTCAAAAATGCTTTAAGCAGTTTTCATGAAACTTTGGTGAATTGTTTATATCTATTGACCTAAGCTCCCTTTCAACTTTTTATAAATTTAAGATGTTACGTTTCAGAGTTATAGGGTTTTATTCATTAAAAAGGGGAATTTTCCAGTTTTCGGACAATAACTCAAGAATGCTTTGACTTTAGATCTGTACTTATGTATCCCGTCATATTTTGAACCACAAAATTATTTTATTTATTATTATTACTTTTACTGTTAAGTCTGTTTTTGTCGAGCCTTCGACTTTAGTCGAAAAAGCGAGACATAGCGATCCTACATTCCATCGGCGTGGGCGCCGGTGTCCACGAATATTCACTCTGTGGTTAAAGTTTTTGAAATTTTAATAACTTTCTTAAACTATCCTGGATTTCTACCAAACTTGGACAGAAGCTTGTTTATGATCATAAGATAGTATCCAGAAGTAAATTTTGTAAAAATAAAACTCCTGTTTTTCCGTATTTTACTTGTTAATGGACTTAGTTTTTCTGCCGGGAAACATTACATTCACTCTGTGGTTAAAGTTTTTAAAATTTTAATAACTTTCTTAAACTATCCTGGATTTGTACCAAACTTGGACAGAAGCTTGTTTATGATCAAAAGCTAGTATTTAGAAGGAAATTTTGTTAAAATTTTGTACCTGTTTATCTGTATTTTACTTATAAATGGACTTAGTTTTTCTTCCAGTTAACATTAAATACAGTCTGCAGTTAAAGTTTTTAAAACATTTATTAGATTCATAAACTATCCTGGATTTATACCAAACTTTGACAGAAGCTTCTTACAATCAAAAGATAGTATAGAAAGGAATATTTTTATTGATTTTTTCCCCCATTTTTGTTAAGCCTGCGATTAACAGCAAAAGTAGGCGAGACACTGGGTTCTGCGGAATCCTTACGAAGTTTTTTGTTATATTCATTTTGCGTGACTCTGTACTTATGTATCCCGTCATATTTTGAACGACAAAATAATTTTATGTCTACCTGTGCGAATTTCAAACCCCCGATTTTACGCCAGTACTTAAAACCTTCCATCCTTTATGGGTGGATTTTACATAGATAAATAAAATCGTATAATAAAAAGGCAAAAGGAGGATGTTAAATTTGATGTATGCCTTTTTGTGCTTCTTCGTTACATTTGTATGTTTTTATAGTGATTAAGATGATAACATAATGTTGACTGCTGTACCCCTAATTTTGACATTTTTACCTATTGTGTCTGTTTGTTTTGTTCACACATCGTTGTCAATATAATGGAATTTGATGCGACTGTCATACAAGTGAGGGGGCCTCCGTGGCCGAGTGGTCTAAGTAGTTACTACTGTTATCACTAGCCAGTCAACACTGAGGTTGTGAGTTCGAACCCCGCTCGTGCGGGTGCACTCGACTGCAATCTTAATTGACTAGGATTGTCAGTTTTCCTATCGAAGGTCGGTGGTTTTCTCCGGGCACTCCGGCTTCCTCCACCAATAAAAACTGGCCACAACGAAATAGCCAAAAAGCGGTGCTTAAAAGTGGCGTTAAAACAACAAAAATCAAATCATACAAGTGAGAGGTTTGGCTAGCTATAAAACCAGGTTCAATCCACCATTTTCTACATAAGTAAATGCCTGTACCAAGTCAGGAATATGACAGTTGTTATCCATTCGTTTGATGTGTTTGAGCTTTTGATTCTGCCATTTGATTAGGGAATTTCCTTTTTGAATTTTCCTCGGAGTTCAGTATTTTTGTGATTTTACTTTTTGAGCAGTTTACATGCAACTTTGATGAATTATTTATATCTATTGACGTGAGCTCCCTTTTGATTTTTATAAATTTTAGATTTAACGTTTACGAGTTATGTGGTGTTATTCATTTAATAAGGGGGATTTTCCAGTTTTCAGACAATAACTCAAAAATGTTTTGAGCAGTTTTCATGAAACTTTGGTGACTGGTTCATATCTATTAAAATAACCTCCCTACTTTTTTTTTTTATAAATTTCTGATATGACATTAAGGAGTTATGGAACATTATTCTTTGAAAAAGAGCTCATGAGCTCATGGCACAGCTCTTTATTGAATTGGTCCACATTGATTGATTGATTGGTGTTTAACACCTCTTTCAACACTATTGTGCTATTTTGTGATGGTCAGTTTTTATTGGTGGAGGAAGACGGAGTGCCTGGAGAGAACCACAGACCTTCGGTAGGAAAACTGACAATCCTAGTCAATTAAGATTGGAGTCCATGTGTTCACTGGCTAGTGATACAGTAGTTTGACTACTTAGACCACTCGGCCACCGAGGCCCCGGTCCACATTGAGGTCCAAAAGGTCTTAAATTAAACTTTGTATGATTTCATCAAAAACTGAATTCTTTGGGTTCTTTGATATGCTGAAACAAACCAGGTATTTAAATTTTTGATTTTTGGCCTGGTTCTCAAATGTTAAGGTCCAAAATTAAACTATGTTTGATTTCAACAAAAATTTGATATATGGGGTCTTAGATATGCTGAATCTAAATGTGTACATAGGTTTTGGATTTTGGGCCCCGTTATCAAATTGGTCTACATTGCAGTCCAAAGGGTCCAAAATTAAAAACTTTTTTTGATTTCATTAAAAATTGATTCTTTGGGTTCTTTTATATGCTGAATCTAACCATGTATTTAGATTTTTGATATTGGACCATAAAAGTTAAATGTCCAATTTCAAATTTTTAAGTTTTTAGACCACATTCATGCTGTGTCAGAAACCTATGCTATGTCAAATATTGAATTCCAATCCAAATTCAGAGCTGTATTGCACAATTAATAGAAATTGTAAGAAGAGTCATAGTTAAATTTAGATACAGCATGAAATTTTAATTTTAGAGAAGAAATTATGTATACATATAGGTCGAAATTTACAGTTCATTATTGGATATTTTGAAAAATAATTAAAATTATGTTTTATAGATTTTTTAAAGTATTTAAATGAAAAATGATTTTTTTGAAATTGTTTTTTTCATTTTTTTTGGTAAATTTTTTAAAGAACTTCATGGTAGGTTTGTTTGTTATTCTGTATAAATTAATTTCCAGAATGCTATACATATATAAGTTTTTTTTTATGTAGCAAACCCCTTTAAAAGCTAATATTGTCCATTAATAAATAAAGCAAATTCTTGGTGTACTTGGATATGCTGAATCTAACATTGTATCTAGATTTAGGATATTGGATCATAAAAGTAAAATTTCTAATTTCAAATTTTTCAGTTCTTTGACCACATTCATTCTTTGTCAACTATTTAATCACATTCCAAATTCAGAGCTGTATCAAGCTTGAATGTAGTGTCCAACTTGCTCCAACTGTTCAGGGTTCGACCTCTGCAGTCCTATCAAGCTGCGCCCTACGGAGCATTTTATTGTTTATTATCTTGAAAACTGTAATAGATAGAAAGAAACTTTAAATAGCACAAATGATCAGCAAGACAAGATTTACAAATAAGCCAAATGGTCAAAATCTTCAGTCGACTGGTTATTGGAGTTATTGCCCTTTAATGATATTTTTTTAATATTTTTTAGCATTTTTTGCCTATCATCTTGAAAACTATAATAGTTAGATAGAAACTTTAAAAAGGAAAAATTATCAGTAGGATAAGATCTACAAATATGTCAGCATGACTGAAATTGTCAGTTAACTCTTAATAGAGTTATTACCCTTTAATGATGATTTTTACTAAAAAGTGGCCATTGTTGAAGATGCAGGTGAGCGACACAGGCTCTTTAGAGCCTCTAGTTTACTTTTATTTTGAAAATCATAAAAGATAGATAGAAGCTTTTTATAGTCAAAATGATCAGCAAGACTAGATCAACAAATATGGTTGAAGATGCAGATGACGACACAGGCTCTTTAGAGTCTCTAGTTTGTATCTGCAACTGCTGTTGAACCACTTAACAGGAATTATGTCCTAAAAAAAACATTGATGAAATATGTGCATTGGAGCGCTGTTCTTTTATTTTGATGTGTGTGGTTTTTTTACTGCATGTCTATTTATGTGGAGCTTTCAGATTTTCCCATATGCTCTTTTATTGAAATTCACATGTGATATTTAGGTACATATTTTTTTTATACATAGGATGACATTTGGTGATTGGCAGTCCAATTTCCAGAAGTTAGAGATTTGTAACCTTGGTCCGGACAGTTTAGATGATGACGAGTTAGTGAAAATAGGAAAAAAGAGATGGGAAGCAACATCTGAAGTAGGAGAATGGATTCCCAATGTTAATGCTGGTGGATGTAGGAATTATCTCCGTAAGAAATTGTTGCTGTAGTATGTGCAAAATATTGTAGAATGATATGCAATGCTAAAGTCACCTAGGGCAGGTCAAAATTTACATACCTTACTCATAGAAAGATCTTTTTTGTCACATCTATCGCAGAATACAAGACATAGGGATGCTAATCTGACAGAGACAAAGGCTTTAGCTTTTTGTCGAGCCTTCGACTTTAGTCGAAAAAGCGAGACATAGCGATCCTACATTCCGTCAGCGTCGGCGGCGTCCACAAATATTCACTCTGTGGTTAAAGTTTTTGAAATTTTAATAACTTTCTTAAACTACCTTGGATTTCTACCAAACTTGGACAGAAGCTTGTTTATGATCATAAGATAGTATCCAGAAGTAAATTTTGTAAAAATAAAATTCCATTTTTTCCGTATTTTACTTATAAATGGACTTAGATTTTTTGCCAGGAAACAACACATTCACTCTGTGGTTAAAGTTTTTTAAATTTTAATAACTTTCTTAAACTATCCTGGGTTTCTACCAAACTTGGACAGAAGCTTGTTTATGATCATAAGATAGTATCCAGAAGGAAATTTTGTAAAATAATAAATCCATTTTTTCCGTATTTTACTTTTAAATGGACTTAGATTTTTTGCCAGGAAACAACACATTCACTCTGTGGTTAAAGTTTTTTAAATTTTAATAACTTTCTTGTACTATTTTGGATTTGTACCAAACTTGGACAGAAGCTTGTTTATGATCAAAAGCTTGTATCTAGAAGGAAATTTTGTAAAATAATAAATCCATTTTTTCCGTATTTTACTTTTAAATGGACTTAGATTTCCTGTCAGGAAACAACACATTCACTCTGTGGTTAAAGTTTTTTAAATTTTAATAACTTTCTTATACTATTTTGGATTTGCACCAAACTTTAACAGAAGCTTGTTTATGATCAAATGCTAGTATCTAGAAGGAAATTTTGTTTTCTTCAAGTTAACATTACATTCAGTCTGCAGATAAAGTTTTTAAACATTTATTAGATTCATAAACTATCCTGGATTTTTACCAAACTTGGACAGAAACTTCTTACAATCAAAAGATAGTATCAAGAGGAATATTTTTATTGATTTACTTCCTCATTTTTGTTGAGCCTGCGATTAACAGAAAAAGTAGGCGAGACACTGGGTTCCGCGGAACCCTTACGAATTTTTATATTGAGGAAATATTTCAGAAGCTAGACGGGCTGGATAATCCATATCAGGTAGACAAATGCCCTATGTTCTAAAGTTTCCATCTGACAGAAGTGTCCAGTCTCCTTGACTGCATTTTCATTATCTAATGGTCACTTAAAAAAAGTATTGTTAGGCCAACTAAAACTAATTAATAGATTTTCATCAAGCTTGCTGAAAAAAATGGAGGATTTAATTTTGAAAATTTTGATTTCCTCTGAAACCCTTTTGTAATGAGATCTTCATGTCAGGGGTCTCGTTAAGACGCATATACGTGTTCTGGACACATGGAAATCAGGCTGGGCGCGTCATTTTTAAAACCCATGAGTCCCTAGGAAGCATCCTCGTTGTATCCCATGAGTCCCAATCACATCGTTTTGCCTAGAAGATTTCATGATCGTCAACATTGTTTTGACAGGAAACTAAACCGGAAGTCGATGTTGAAAAATTTTGCAATGCGTAGATAAATATTTTTGTTGACTGATAACTATTTTTTAAAATTAAACGTATTTCATCTTAAAATATAATAATTCTGTTCAAAATGATTAATCAATATCATGAATATGTAATAGTTACCGATTTAAAAAAATTTTAAGAGTATTTAAAAAGCTTGAATATTTCAATGTGTTGAACATCACGTACTTATCGATTGAAACAAAGAAAGTAAAAATTTTTGAGAACTTGAAATGAAATGATATGATATTTCATCACTGTTGCTACTATGCATAAAATAGGTCGTAGAACAGTGTGGATTCAAAATTTTACAGATAAGAATAATTTTACTGGTCTTCAAATGATTTAACATTTTTCTTGTATTGTGCATGTTGAACATCGCGTTCGTAAACAAAGGTGAAAAATGTTTTGAAATTGAAACAAATCCAATTAAAAAATGATTTACGGTTACAGTGTTCACTTTAGATTTATTTGTTTTTATTAAAGATTATAATAATTATCATGATGTAAACATCAAAGTGATTATTAACTCAATGTTTAAATATAATTAAAATTGATTAATAATAATAAATATGAACTGTGACAAGTCTGTGTTCATGCAATCCCAATTTCTTATAAATACTGGCTTGTTCAACAAAATGACATCATTATCACAATGTCAGAGTCAGTCAAAGTTAAGGTCCTTCTTCAAAAAGAAACTTGATGACATTGAATCATCAGTACCAAGTAAAAGACCAAGAGTCAATGACCCACTACACCAAGAATTGATAGACATAGAAAGATCTTCAGAAACAACAACTTCAGTTACTTCAGTCACTACACCAACTAAACCAAAGAAAGAGAGGAAATGGCAGTCTATATATGTTGTAATGAACAATAATTATTAAGAGATCATAACTTTTATTGATATAATAAAAACTACCAATCCAACACGCATCATTTTAGTTTTATTTCATCATATTAAGACACAAAAAATTACATGCATCCTGGACTCATCAAAATCTATTAGGACTCACCATTTCTAAAAGTGATCAGTCCCAGGACTCTCCTATTGAGAACCCTGTTCATATATATGCAGGGTAATAATAAGCTTATATCTGTATATCATGTACAGTTTTCATAAAGAATTCTGCATACTTTTTATACGACTGCAAAAAATTTTGCGGTCGTATATTGGTATCATGTCATCAGCGTCGTCTGAAGACAGTTGGTTTCCGGACAATAACTTTAGTATAAGTAAATAGAAATCTATGAAATTTAAACACAAGGTTTATAACCACAAAAGGAAGGTTGGGATTGATTTTGGGGGTTATGGACCTAACAGTTTAGGTATGAGGGCCAAAAAAGGGGCCCAAATAAGCATTTTTCTAGTTTCCAGACAATAATTTGTGGAACGGTGTATGGATCTCTCTGAAATTATACCACAAGTTCCATACCACAAAGGGATGGTAAGGATTTCCTTTCGGGGGTTATGGCTCAAACCGTTTAGGAATTAGAGGCAAAAGAGGGGGAAAATCAAGGGTTTTTGTCGAGCCTGTGACTTTTGTCGCAGAAAGCTGGACATAGGGATAGTGATCCGGCGGCGGCGGTGGCTACGGCGGCGGCGGCGTTAGCTAACTTCTTAAAAGCTTTATATTTTAGAAGGTGGAAGGTCTGGATGCTTCATACTTTGTATATGGATGCCTCATGTTACGAAGTTTCCGACAGTCACATGTTCAATGTCCTTGACCTCATTTTCATGGTTCAGTGACTACTTGAAAAAAAAGTTAAGATTTTTTGTAATGTTAGATTCTCTCTTATTATAAGTAAAAGGATAACTATATTTGGTATGTGCGTACCTTGCAAGGTCCTCATGCCCGTCAGACAGTTTTCACTTGACCTCGACCTCATTTCATGGATCAGTGAACAAGGTTAAGTTTTGGTGGTCAAGTCCATATCTCAGATACTATAAGCAATAGGTCTAGTATATTCGGTGTATGGAAGGACTGTAAGGTGTACATGTCCAACTGGCAGGTGTCATCTGACCTTGACCTCATTTTCATGGTTCAGTGGTTATATTTAAGTTTTTATACGACCGCAAAAAAATTTTGTGGTCGTATATTGGTATGACGTTGGCGTCGTCGTCGTCGTCGTCGTCGTCCGTCGTCGTCGTCCGGCGTCGTCGTCCGAATACATATTGGTTTTCGCACTCTAACTTTAGTTTAAGTGAATGGATCTTTTTGAAATTTGACCATAAGGTTAAATACCACAAAAGGAAGGTTGGGATTGATTTTGGGGGTTATGGTACCAACAGTTAAGGAATTAGGGGCCAAAAAGGGGCCAAAAATGAGCATTTTCTAGTTTCCAGACAATAACTGTGGAACGGTGTATGGATCTCTCTGAAATTATACTACAAGTTTCCATACCACAAAGGGATGGTTAGGATTTGCTTTGGGGGGTTATGGCTCAAACCGTTTAGGAATTAGGGGCAAAAAAGGGGGAAAAACAAGGTTGTCCTGGTTAATGGACAAATACTTTAGTACAAAACATAATTTAAAGCAGTGTAAGGGAGATAAATCAAATACATCATTGAAATTATCTCCCTTACACTGCTTTTAAATTATGTATAAAGTAATGGTTAATGAACAATAAAGATAATCTAAAACAGTGTAAGGGAGGTAATCCAAATACAACGTTTTGGTTACTTCCCTTACACTGCTTTTAAATTATGTTTAAAGAAATGCATATTTATAAAGGAAGACCAGTAAAAATATCTGCAAATGTTTTCATCTTTTTTTTTTACAAAAAAATCCATATGAAAGATTTGACACTATATTTTTATTAATTCTATTATAAAATAGATTAAGTTAGCACTATGGTAAATTTAAATGGGTAATTATGGTTACCAACTCCATTGGAAATTTGAATTGAGATTATGACCATATCTTGAGGGAAAGAATTTTTTTGGGGGAAAAAGGGGGGGGGGGGATAAAAAGAAATTGTGGGGGGCCAATTTTTTCTCATTTCAGATTTCAGAAATTAAAAAGAATTATTCTTCAAATATTATTTTTTTTTCAAATTTCAAATATTGAAAAATTTCAAGAAGTAATCTTTAATTGCACAGTATGGCGCATTAGATTTGTAAAATCTTTGATCACATTTATTTATTTGTTATGCCGAATCTAACAGTGTATTTAGATTTTTAATTTTGGGTCCAGTTTTCAAATTGGTCTACATTAATGTCCAAAGGGTCCAAAATTAAACTTTGTTTGATTTTAGCAAAAATTGAATATCTGAGGTTCTTTGATATGCTGAATCTAAACATGTATTTAGATTTTTGATTTTTGGCCCAGTTTTCAAGTTGGTC